AACAGAAACAGGCTCAGGGGAAAAAAAAATACTGGGAGAAAACAGCAGAACCCCAAAGCACACAGTCTGCATGTTGATTCCCCTCTACAAAGTCGCAGAGCTGGGACAGGTAGCAAATCTGTGACTGCCTCTCTGTGCGGCCTGGTGAGGAGCAGCAGCTGAGGGGCTGAGGGGGACCTGACGGGCCCAAGTGCTCTGCATTTCAGTTGGAATGGTGCTGACGAGGGTCTCTGCCATTGCCAAGAGTCACTCAACTATATGACTCTTCTGTGTAACCTACTGTTTCATAATTATACCTCAATGAGAATGCATTTGTCAAAGAGACAAGGCCACACCTCCCTCCCACTCTGCAAAAGGAGCAAAGTCAATTCTGAATTCGCGTTGCCAGGTAGGGCCTGGCGCACAATTGCTTTAGGCATTTCCTGCAATGTGGTTGTGAGGAAGAACCCGCAGGTTCTGGAGAGAACCCACAGGTCTTGGGTAGAGCCTTAGTGGGTCACAGGCGGCTCTGCAAGGGTTGCGTGGGCCCAGCTGCAGGCACCTGCAGACACTACCTCTCGTCTCATGACCCACTGGGAAGTTTCTGGAGGCATCGTCCCTCACTTCCTTGATGTCCTAGACCATTCCTAATGACAGGTCCCCAAAACACCTGTCTGGCCTTGCTAGAAGGACATTAGGAGTGTGGTGGTCAGTGCTCAAAGAGGGATCTGAGGCCTTCTGGGCTCAGGGACACTTTCTCCACTAGGAGGCTGTGAGTAAGGAGTTAGCTAACCACGCAGAGGGAGGGAGGAAGTTCACAAGTTCTCTATGCCCTACTTCCAACACTTGGGGGCTCCCTAAAAGTCTCTATTCTAAGATCATATCCTAAATGGTGACAGAGTGTATATGTGTGTGCTTCTGTGTGCATATGTGTATGTGTGTGCACATGTAAATGTTTATGTATTTTATGTGTGCATATGTATACATGTAAATGTTTATATTAATGTGTATACATATATATTTGTGCTTGTGTGTGCATGTGTACACACATATATGTATACATGCATTTATATGTGTGAAAGTATTGTACAGTACATATATGTATTTATGTGTATGCATGCATATATACATGGATATGTGTATATGTATGTGTGTATATGAGTGCACGTGTGTGTATATGTATAAATACACATGTACAAGCATACATGTGTTATGTATGTGCATGCACATATGTATATTAAGTATATGTGGTCTTTATACATATGTTTGTGCATTTATATTATTTATATGTGTGTGTGAATATACATACATGCATGTGTTTGTGTATGTTATGTGTGTTATTTGTGCATGCATGTGTGTGCTGTTTGTGTACGTGTGTGTGTGTGTGTATGCACAGGTACATGTGTTTTTGACCTACATTTGAGTCAAGCCTGAGCACCTGCCTGAGTAGAACAGTCAGCAAACAAACCAAGAGAAGGGGAGGAAGACTAAGCCCCTTGGAAACTCTGGAGCATCCGGAAGTGGAGGACCACATCAGAACGGGCTAAACAGTGCCCACCCCACCTCTACCCCAGACCCCACCTGACAACCCAGAATGGGTTTATTCGGAAGTAGGGTCTTTGCACGTGAGCAAGTTAAAAATTGGGTGAGACCAGACCTGGGGTGGGGCCTGAGCCCTTATCAATGACAGAGCTGAGGACACCAGCAGATATAGACAGGAGCCCAAGGAGATGGAGGCAGAAACCTGAGCCATGCACACACAGAGGGCAACTCCGAGATATGTGTGAGGTGTGGTCCTCTGACCCAGCAGTTACCCCCTGGCAGGCTTCTGGTCCCACACCTAGGAAGCAGAAATGCCTGAGGCGGAAGCCGCTGCAAGGCAACAGCTCAGACAGCCCAAGGGCAAAGCCACACTTTCCCTTGCTGTGGAATCACAGCTGAGACCACAGGGCAGTCTGGGAAGTGCCTGGATGCTGAGAAACACAGGTACCAGGCTGTGCAGCAGGGAGCTGTGGCTCCCAAGGCTGGGGTCGGCAAGAAGGACCTCAGAGGCGCAAGCCCACTATAAGAACAGTGGCATCCGTCGGCATGTTCACAAACATGTTCTTGTTTGAACTGGGGCACGGGTTTGCCTTTCCAAAATAAATAAGTTAGCATTGTAAATAGGGGCCAGCCCACTCTGTTTTTCTTCCCAGCTCATCCTCCCCAACAGTGTAAAGTCAATTAGACAATAAATATTTATCCTCCCCACTCTGTGTCTACAGGTGTGAGTCACTAATTGTCAATATGTATTCATTATCTCCCTACAGGCTATAAACTGAGCCAATCAATCAAGCTAACAGGTATGTAGCGCCTTTGCATGGCTCTAGAATAGAACAAAGCAGGTAATAAAAACCAACAGGGGACTAGAAGTGAGGGACAGCAGCTGGCCAGCAGCTGAGGGTGGTGGCTTCACCAGGAAAACTGCATTATAAAAGCCAAAAGAAGGTATTTCACGGAACTGGAAAGTTTGGAACTCCAACTTTGCTACTGAGTAAAATGGTGTATCACATTACCAAGAAAGGCTGGGTCTCCTTATCTGTCAGGAAGAGGAAGATGAGATGGCTGATCCCAGTGAGGAACTAACAGATTTGCAAGGCTCAGGGTTTTCAGATGTGTTAACAACTTCGCTGAAGGCACGTGTGGTTCGCGATGCTCCTGAAGACCTCAGGATGACATCAGACACACTGGCTTGAGGAGCCCAGAGAAGGAGGCAGGGGACTGACAGACATCCTCTGTCCCCTACCGTGCAGCCAACCACAGTCCGGCCCTAAGGGTGAACTGCTGGCCTGAAAGAGGAGAGCCCTGTCTGCTCAACGCCTCCAAAAATCACGAAGGAGTCTGTGTTTCCTTCTAGAACAATCCTGAGACATTCGAAACCAAACAGGATAGGGGCACTCCTGAGGACAGCGGTGAGAGGGTGGCTGTCACCTGCGTCTCTCCTTCCCTGCTGGTGGCTCTTGTCTCCCAACTCTGAATACAGGCTCCCAGCACCCTAGCTTTGCCTGGCTGAGCCACAAGCTTCCATGGGCCCTTTCCTGGTTTCCATTAGCACTGCCCAGGCCCTCTAACCTTGCTTCCGGCCCTGGTGGTCAGTTCTTCTATGCTTCCTTGTACCACAAGGCCCCACACTCTCCGTCTGCTTGTTCACAACTCAAGACCACCCAGATAAGTAGAAGCCTCTCGAAGGTTCTGCCTGGCCCTCTGAGTCTCTTGGATTTACTGCCATTTTTAATCAGTTCTGCATGTGAGCGTTCTGGGAAGCCAGAGCCAGGGCTTCCTGCACGCTAAGGGCAGAGTCTACGTTTGAGCCTCGGCCTACCTTCCCCGGTTGCCGTTTCTAAGTGAGGAAACGTTTTTGTTCCAGTTAATCTTTTAGCATCGGAATTGGCCATACAGACCATGCTGCCATGTGAGAACACCGGCTGCTGTCAGTTCACGATGCCCACTGAGAAGGTCCGGGGACCCTGTGGTCCCCAGTCTCCACGGCACCCCGCTGTCTGCTCCCACTCAGCTACTTCTCCCATTTCCACCATCTCCCTGGCCTCTGTAGGAAACTGACATAGATCAGCAAAGTCAGCTTTGACCACGCCCAGCAAAATAACAAATGAGATGGTCTTGAAAGCAATTTAACGTGAAACACGATTATAACATAAAATTACCTTAAAGACAGACCGGAAGAGCCAAATAAACAGTTTTTAATCCCTGAAATAATGTTTCCTTTCCTTTCCTTTCTTCTTCTTAAAAGAACGGCTAAACTTTCAAAAACGTAACAGATATCTGGCTCCGTGGTGTAGACCTATAATCCCAGCTGCTCAGGAAGAGGCGGCAAGAGGATTGAGAGTTCAAATCCAGCTGGAGCAATTTAGCAAGACCAGCTCTTCATCAAAAAAAAAAATGTTTTAAAAGTGTTGCAGATGAGCCAGGCGGTGGTGGCGCACACCTTTAACCCCAGCACTAGGGAGGCAGAGGCAGGTGGATCTCTGTGAGTTCAAGGTCACCCTGGTCTATAAAACAAGTTCCAGGATAGCTAAGACTAGAAACCGTGCCTTGAAGAAAAAACAAAAACAAAAAACAATCAAACAAATTAAAAAAAAAAAAAGAAAAACTATCTATTGATGAGGTAACTTGGTGGAAGAGCACGTGCCCAGCATGTATGAGGTTTTGGGTTCAGTCCCCAGTACTGCAGACATGTGGACACGCTTGTACATGTGAAGCCTGGAAGACCTCTGCCGTGTGCTCAGCATCTTTCCCAAGGAAAATTCTTCAGAACTTTATGCCAGGTTTGAAATTTTTCTCTAACTTTACAACCATCTTTGGGGGCGGGGCCTTATCCCTACTAGACTCTTAAGATTCTTGGGCACAGAGAAAATCTCGCTGCTCTGTGGATGCCCAACACTTGCCATGACCCCTGACCTCGACTCCAGGGACAGGTGGAAAGCTGGAGAATCACTACTGTCTGCAAGGCTCTGGAGTTCTTGTCCCAGCCCTGCTTCTTTCTGGGCACAGGCACTGAATACTCAGTCTTCTAACCTGTGAAATGGGTGTAACAGCCCCCGTCAGTGACCCAAGCCTTCACAGGGCCAGATGCTTCCCACAGCATCTGCAGGGCCACGGCTCAGAGCCAATGCCATGCTACTGCAAGTTTCGCTGAGTGGAGGGAGGGATGAAAAGAGAGAAGGGGGTGTGTGTTCCAGAAATTTAATTGCAAATATACCCATATTTCAGAAGACCAAAGTAATATCTAAACTAAGCAAAGCCTCCAGCTCCCATTATCTGTCCTTATTTTTATTTCCCATGAGGCCACAGAAGTCTCCACAAAAGCAAATAGAAGCAGAGACCAATACTTCCGTGGGTGCAGTTTCTGCCTCTGGTCACCACAGACCAACTAACTGTACGTCCTTGCAAGTCCCATGAATTCCCGGGGACGCTCATGTACGGCCCCTTTCGCCAGAAAGACCCAGCCCTGAGGTCTGACTTACAGCACTCAATGGGGTTGGATGCCGCCTGCAGGGAGATGATGCGGCCACTGGGTTCCGGGACGTGCACGCGGAACACCAGGCGCACTCGCGTGTTCTTCCTGCCAATGTCTGTCTCGCCCTTCCGCAGCTCGATGTCGGCGTTCCGAAGCTTCAGGATGCCGGCACAGTCGATGCTGCAGGAGGGGAGACCGGGTCACTGAGCAGAAAAGATCACCCACAAACCCGCCTAAGGTGGCCACAGCGGGGACTGCATATCCCCCTGGGTTAGTGACAACCAGAACGCTATGCCAAGAGGTTGGATTTTTAAAAAAGAAATTTTTTTATTTTATTTTATTTTTTATTTTATTTTTTTACAGAGCACTCAGAAAATCTCCTGAGTGGAGATTGTTTCTCTAGGGAAATTTTTCTCATCAATGCTTTTGTTCTCAAAAGCACTGGGAAAACTCAAGTAGGCAGCTGGTAGAACTGGCCAGGGCTACTCCACAAATATCAGAGTACCAGGGTCTCTTGAATTCAGCAAACAAAAAAGCACCCTTGCTCTCTGGAAATGCCCAGCAAGATTTGTAAAAGCCAAGGGCACTGTCGGCCATCTCTCTAAGGACCCAGGGCTATGGCGTGAGACAGAGAAGAAGGAAGGGAATGAGGACCTGTTAGCAATGGGGGACAGCATGACCAGTGCCCCAGGGTCATGTACCCCACCTCCCACAGCCTTCTGGTAGGCATGAGCTTACTTCCTCATAAAAGGTTCTTTGATGCTGCCACGTATGTGCCGTGTGGTGGAAATGCTACATGCATGGCCTTCTGTGTTGTCACTGAAAATTTTCTTTAGGTCCCACCAGTCTTAGTCTTTGCTTTGATTTTTGAGAGAGGCTGGGCTGGGACTCAATATGTCGTGGAAGATGGTTTTACCTACAAACTCCAGAGCTTTCTGCCCCCATGCACACTCCCAAGTGCCAGGGTTACAGGTGTGGGCCACCATGCAGACGGGTGGCTCCAAGATTGGACAGGACCAGCAGCGGCTGTGGCAGTACCCTCAGAGATGCCCCAATCCTATCACTCAGGCCCTGCTCACTTTCCCAGGAAGCCCCACCACTGCCCCAGCCTTACGTGGCCCTCATGTTGTTCTTTGGCTCCAGGGGGATTTCCAGGACCTTGGTGTTGCCCACAATTTTCTCATAGCTGGTGGTGGTAACGGTTTTGCCTGTGATCCTGTGTACTTGGTAGAAGGCGTGTGGCTTAAGGATTCTCTCATCGGCTGTCCCAATGAAGATCTGAAGTCCCAGGGGCTTGTTCTCCATGTAGCCATGGAGCTAAGGAAGGAGAAAAAAAAACAATCATTAATTTTTTTCAGGGTGGAGGGCAGGTGAGACTTCTGTAGGCTGACCACCAGAGACGATCAGAGAAGCACATGGAGTGAAAGAGTGTAGGGCTGCTGTGTGACCTGGATGGGTGCATGGCCAGAAGCTGCCTTGGTGTCCACCCAGAGCAACTGTTCAAATAAGTTGTAGGGATCTCCTCTAAAATGGATGCTAAGAAGCTGGAGAGAGGGCTCAGCCATTACGGGTGCTGGCTGTTCTTACAGAGGGCCCGGGTGGGATTCCTGGCACCCATATGGAGGCTCACAACCATCTGTAACTCCAGTTCCAGGAATCCCATGCCCTTTTCTGGCTCCCACAGGCACCGGGTACATATGTGGTGCACAACTGTAACACAGGCAAAATACTCATAAGCAGCCACAAGAAACAATATAGATTAGGACTTAGTCACTGGCAAAGGGCTGGGAAAATGGGAACAGAAACAACCTGAAGGCCCTCCCGCCATCCACCCTCAGGATCCATTGCCAGGTAAAGGCAGTTATGGGGGGGTGGGACGGATTCATGAGGGCAGGCCTTCTCTGAGTATGCAGGAGGTTAACGGTAGCTGGGAAGGGAGGGACATTCTTCAGTGGTGTAGACACTATAAGGTGCCCTTGCTCCATGTACACAGCACTAATGGCACTGTAATTGCCAAGATAAATAAGCAAATAAAGAGATGTGAAAGTAGGAGGGGACTAAGTGGGAAGAGAAGCAGGATGAGCTAGCGAGGGTGGATGGCATAAAAATACACTGTTTAGCTGTAAAGATGCCATGATGAAACCAACTAGTGTGTGCGATCAACACAAGCAAATAAAAATAAAATGCTAGAGAAGAACTGAGCAACCTAAGAATAGATACGATGAAAGCATAAGTGACTGTCGAGAGACAGACAGACAGACAGACAGACAGAGGAAAAGTAAAACTCTGGTGATTATAGAGAGACGGACAGATGGACTGACAGAGGAAAAGTAAAACTCTGGTGATTATAGAGAGATGGACAGATGGACCGACAGAGGAAAAGTAAAACTCTGGTGATTATAGAGAGACGGACAGATGGACAGACAGACAGACAGACAGACAGACAGACAGACAGACAGACAGACAGAGGAAAAGTACAACTCCAGTGATTACAGAGAGACAGACAGACAGACAGAGGAAAAGTAAAACTCTGGTGATTACAGAGAGACAGACAGACAGGAAAAGTACAACTCTAGTGATCACCAAGAGAGGCGGTGGTGGCACATGCCTTTGATTCCAGCACTCAGGAAGCAAAGAGACAGTTGGATCTATCTCTGTGAGTTCTAGACCAGACCTGCTCTACAGAGTGAGTTCCAGGACAGCCAGGGCCACACAGAAAAATCCTGTCTCTGGAAGGCAGAGAGAGGGAGAGGGAGAAAGGGAGAGGGAGAGGGAGAAGGGAGGAGGGAGAGGGAGAAGGGAGGAGGGAGAGGGAGAAGGAAGGGATGGAGACAGGTACACACAGCTCTTGTTGACAAAGGTCACCAAGGTCACCTAAGAAGGTCTATAGACATAATTCACTTTTCACAGGACAATATTGCAGTTAGCATAGACTGATTTTATACTTTTCAAAAAGAAAGAGCAAGACAACAGTGCAATTGATCAAGTCAAAATTAATTAAGAACCAGAAGAAAGTGCATGTCACGCTTAACAGGCAAAAGGTCAGCCTGTGAGGTAAAGACTCTTGAAGACGTCCCTAGGGAAGGAGGATGAGACCGGGTCCCACCTCTAACAGATGCCCTATACGACACTGGACGGTGGTGGCACACGCCTTTAATCCCAGCACTAAGAAGGCAGAGGCAGGCGGATCTCTGAGTTTGAATTCAAGGCCAGTCTGGTCTACAGAGCAAGTTCTAGGACAACTAGGGCTACACAGAGTAAGTCTGTCTCGATTTTTTTTAAAGAGCTTTGGAGTTGAAGCACACAAATTTGACAACAGATGTCCTATAACCCAGGCATGCACCCATCATTATACAACCTGAAGAGCCCCATGCAGAAAGAGAACACGCTGGACTAGAGTGGTGAGCCCAGACAAGGTAACACAGCAGATCAGAAAGCATATATTCTATGGACTGACCCCAAAAGATCTAATCTATGCTAGATTATCTATATCTATGTTAGGGGTGGGGAGTGAGGCCAGACAGAGGACCCTATGGGCAAAGGTGCTGGCTGCCAACCCTGATTATCTGAGTTGCTCCCCAGACCCACAGCTCGCATGGTTTCCCCCAGCATTCACAAGAAAGCTGTGGATTGTAAATAAATGTATTGTTTTATTTTCTAAGGGAAAAATGTGTCAAACCCTACAATCTATCAAACAATACAGAACATTTCTATCTGTTTACACATTCACAGATGCGAGAAAGAAGGGTGTGGACGATACTCTCCACACCGACTACACTGTGACTCCCATGAAGGAAGAGGAGGAGTCCAAGACCGCAGAGGTGACCAAAGAGGACAGTGACTTCACACCCCATGGCACAAGAAGAACATATGGTTAAGTATACACTAAATAACAAAAGACAAAGACACGTGGCGCTGAGAACCTGGTCCTGAGTTCCAACCACTTCCCAATATCCTCTTTGATCTTTCTGTCCCTCTGTCCCTATATTTGCAAACCAAAGAACCTATGACAAGGGACAAGTTCCACAGAACTTTAGTACAGTTGCCTTGGTCGCTTCCCAACCAACCAACCAACCAAAACAAAAAAAAAAAAAAAAAAAAAAAAAAACCAACAAAACAAAGAAAGGCTTTCAGGTGATGGGCATGACCTAGAATGACCCTGCTCCGTGCGGAGCCACCAGTCACACACATCCACTATCACGGTGGACACAGCCTGGAGTCAAGCGAGTCTCAGTTGAAGGGATGCCAGGTCTAATCGGCTTGTGGGCAGGCCTATGGGGGTTATCTTTACTGTTAATGGATGTAGGAGGACTCAGCCTCCTACGGGCACCACTGTTCCTTAGGCAGGTGATTGTGGACTACGTAAGAAAGCCAGGTAGGCAGGAGCCTGTGCCAGCAAGCAGTGGTCCTCCAGGTAGGCAGGAGCCTGTGCCAGCACACAGTGGTCCTCCAAGATTTCCGCTTTAAGCTCCTGCCCTGACTTCCCTCAATAACAGGCCACGTGTGACCTGGAGGCTGAGAGAAAAAAACCCTTTCTCCCCGATCTTGCTTTTGGTCAGAGCATTTACCATGGCAACAGGGTAAAGCTAGAAGTTTCGGAGTCCCACGCAGCGTATTTTACATGTTTGTTCTCTGGCCACATGTGGCTAGCAGCCACCACAGTGGATAGTGTGACCTTCAGCTTCATCTATCTTTCCAGAGCATGTCCTAATGAATGGTATGGGAACCAGGGCTCGTGCGCTCCTGCTGGAAGCCACACAGAAGACAGTCCAGGCATGAGAGCTGAGCAGGAGGATGACCTGCCCGCAGGACTGATGCCCACAGTGTTGACAGGTGTGGCAGCCTCAAGCAAAGGTGAAGTCCCAGTCAAAGCCACTCATCTGAAGATCACCCACTGCTCTCGGGTGGCACGGATCAAACAGGAGGAAGGCCACACCGAGAGATCGCCTTCTTGTTATGAGGGATTTGCGTGGGGACCCAAGATAAGTGTGTTTCCTAATTGGCTTCCCTGGTTCACCAGAGGTGGTAAACACTGTCCGCGGTGCCAGAAGAAAGGCGGGCAGGGCGGCAGTGAGCATTCATGCCGCGCTGCTTCCTCCTCCCATGACAAGAGCAGAAGTGCGCCCGGGAAGGGACACATGGGGAACAGCTGGAGGGCATGTGCTAATCAAGGCCAGCCACTCCATCCCCTCCCTTGTTGGCACTCCAAACCAAGCTGCCATTGCCTTGCCTCTCATTTGGGCGGCTGTCAACACACTGCTTGCCTCTTCTGGTCTTTCAGAGAGTGGTTGAGTAATCTTTTAAAAATGCAAATCAGATCCGGGCACTCCCCTGCTTACAACCCTCTGAGGACTTCCTGTGGCCTCAGACTGAAGTGCCAACTTAGCTGCCACCGCCTGAAGTCACTGAATTCCCCCCAAAGCCAGCCTCAGTCCAGCCCCTGCCTTGCCTCTCCATCCTGCCAGGCTTTTGATTTCTCCCTTAGCTTCAACGTACCAGGATGGATCATTTTGACCTCAGGGCCTTTGCACAAGTCACTGTCTCTGTCTGGATGCAGATTTTCACCTCTTTTCCAGATAAACCACAAGTCGTACCTATGCCCAGGACTCATTCAGCCTTGTGAGACGCAACCACCTAATGCCCAGGGATCTCAGAAGCCAGTTGGGCACCACAGGTGTCTTCAGCCTTGACAGGAAGAGTTTCACAAGAAAATTAACACATGTTAAATGGAAAGGTATATTTGAGAATATGTATGTATATGTGCACATGTGTGTGCATGCATGTGTATATATACATTTGTGAGTATGTGTGTTTATAAGTGGGTGCTACTATACCCTGATTTTATTTTTCATGGGTCCTGGGGATCAAATCCAGGTCTTCTTGTATGCAAAGCAAGCACTGTACCTGCTAAGCCATTTCTTCGGTACCTGAGAGAAGCTTTTTTCTTCTTCTTCTTTTTTTTAAGAACCAGATATTGTGTACTTCTTATCATGTCCCCTAAACAATGTCCCCATTTAGTCACATGCTCAACGTCCATTCATCTCCCCATGTGGCTCATATACTGGAGGCTGTGTTCCACAGTAGCGGGGACCTCAGACGCCTTGTCCTGATGGCTACTGTATATGTGGTGGTGGAGCTTTTCACCTTCAGCAATGACATGGCAGCTCCTGGTGCCACCTCCCTCACACCAAACATGGCACTCAGTGGCTCACAGCTTTTCCCTGTGGCAGCTCCTAAAGGAGCCAGCCCAGCCCAACCCAAGGAAATGCGGCATTGCACTGGATGACGGTCACTCTGCGTGTGCTTGCAGGAGCTGT